AATTTAATTATTAAAATTAAATCCTTTATTTAAGATTATTTATGTGTATTGTTTAAGTTAAAAGATTTAATCACACAGTACTTTATGAATTAATTAGGTATTCTAAATAATAAAAATTTCATTCATAATGAATTAATTTCAACTATTCCTCTAGAGAGCTTGGCTTAGTCAGAACAAAACCACCAATTTTAAACTTTTTCCTTGGCACTGGGAGTCATACATGCGGACACTGACTGTTTTTCCTGATATCTCGAATCTCCTTTCAACAACTTTTCTCATTTGACTTGACCTAATTCACAAGGTAGTTGCAATGAACATCTTAAAGTTAAAGGATGCCATTGTATAAAGCATGAGATAGAGACTTATTTTTGGACTCGTCTTTTTTTTTTACCATAGCTGTCTAATGGGTCTAACACACTGGTACATAATTTAAAATTTAATAGAAAAAAACAAACCTTCACTGACTTGAGAACTTTTTTGTTTGGTTGTTTGTTATTTGAGTTGTGTACTCGATAAAATAAATTAGGGGCCAGTATGGAGTAGGCAGACAATAAACTCATTCAATTAGGTCACATCATTCCTTTGCCATTTTTCTCCTTTTACTTTCTCACCTTCCTTGTTGGTACCCGTACAGTTAACTATTGTTTGTATCATTTCTTCATTTAAGTACAGATGTAAGGATTGAGTGGGAGCAAATATATGTGATCTGTGAAGGGAGTTTGGTTTCAAGGCAACTAAGTCATGCCACATTGAAAATAAAATACTGATAACCCTAAATAAATAGAGCCATTGAAAAAAATATAGTACATACAAACCATACACAAACAGAAAGACAAAAATCCACTAAAGTTTTTNTGTATTGTAACTTATTGTACTGTATTTTAAATGAAACTTGGCATACACATTAAGAATAACATTGACATAAAGTTTAAAGAAGCTTATTACACAGCAGTTATTGGAAGTGTTACAAATGGCATGTATGTGGGGGTCACATAAATATTCGAGAACTCTTCAGGAGTAGCAAATGTAAAAATGTTATAAAACTTTTCTAGTTGGATATACCAGGTATAGAAAAAAAAAGCCTCTTGAATTTTGTAAAGAATATTAATGAAAAGAAGCATGCAACGTTTGAAGGCTGTAGCTTGAATACTTTTCCTCCCAATTCATTTGGCGTTCCTAAGAAATCCGGAAAATGCAAAATTGAGAAAAATGAAAAAAAGTATAAAATTGTGTTGTTTTTTTTAAATTAGAGGGCTGCATGAACGATATAGGATGCATACACCAGCTACATCCATCATTCATGAATTAAAAAACAATTAGAAAACTAAGACAGAAAAGATAGAAAACAAAAATTAACACACGAACCAAATAAAAAAAATACATAAATAAAAAAAATTCTGAAAAATTTTCCTTTGAGATATTTGTTTAAAAACCATCCATCATTAAGTAGAGAATGTCAATATAAATAAGTTTCAATTATGTAGTTCCAAAACTATTCCTCCTGAGTCATCAAGTGACGTCAGGAAACAAAAATTAAAATGCTATATCGATAAAAGCTGAAAAAGACACTGACAAATGCTTATTAAAAAAATTAAAGGTTACTTGAACAACATTGGATGCATGCATCATGAACACATTCCTCTCGTTAATTTAAAAAAAAAAAAACAATTTAAGTACATAGATATAAAATTGATAGAATATAAATGAATGCATTTTCCCAACAACCCAATAGCCTCGAGCCTAATAAAAATATGAGATCATAAAAACTTCGGAATTTTGTTTATGAGACATGTAATTTAAAAAAATCAATCATTATGTAGAGAATATAATAGAAAAAACTTTGCAAATTTTGAAGCATATGGTAATAATACTTTTCCTCATTAATACATTTGACGTCAGAGATAACTGGAAAATCATAAGCGGACAAATAGAAAAAAATTCAATTAAGCAATATTAGAAATAGAGGGGTCAAATAAAATGAAATTTAAAGCATATCAATGTGAAAGATAAGAATGTTCTAGATATTTTTACAAATGTTAAACAATATTGTAGAACATGTTAATGTTTTTTAATAAGAAATCAATAGACTCAGTTTAGGAAACAAAAATCTGCCCAAGAAATATAATAAAAATGGTTATTTACACAATTTTGTAAAATAATTTTCAGCACATTAAAAACATTTACATATTTATAAAAGTAGCTTTAATCTTTCGGAACCAATCATTGCGAATTAGCAGTGAAAATAAATTTACAAGAACAAGTCAAGAATGACGATTATCTCAGCAAGGCCTTTTCAAACCCAGTTGTTGGGTTCAGCTGTCTATGTTATATATAGGCCTACCGGTATTCACTTTTCTGCGTGTTAACTTGTCCGTTGGTTCACTAGTCCTGTGTTTGGATGTGTTATTGTGAGTTGTGGGTTTACTTGTCCTGCGTTCATTTGCACGGCCACCGCAACGGACACAAACCATAAAGTTTCTGCCGCATTAATGATCAGAAATCTGTTTAAAGTAAACCTATACACGGGTAAGTCGCGGCGACTGCGTTGCTGCCCACAGCCTTACTAAACAGAAACATGACAAGGCCGTGGAGGCCACGTCGCTCTAGCTATGCCGACGTATTACTTTAGTGTATCAGAGAATGACTTTGGTAATCAGCAGGCCAGACAAGGGAAACGGTGCATGGGCCAAAAAGGGTGCAAAGCGAGAGAGACTCGGCTACGTAATAGAATTCCACCAACAACAGTGTTAGTGATTTTATGTATCTGGATGGAGCCAAGTTGCTTTGTTAATCATCTGTTTGCAATGGTGTTTATGTCGCCACTGACATATATTTCATTACTTTCCCGCTTTTTGCCTCTTAGTCTTAGTAAATCACCAGCTATTTATTGAGAAAGAAATCGAAACTGTCACAAATTTTAAGAAAGGAAATTGACAATTTTATTTAAAGTTTTAACAAATTTCCCATATAACCCCCACCCTCAAAATTCTAGCCGCGTTACGTCCGTAATGGATGCACAACCGTGCAAAGGAAAAGCAGCGCCCTGGGCGAATGCGCCCCCTGATATTGAGGTCCCTTGTGAGTACCACCTTTACATTGCTGTGCATGGATCCAGTGGGCTAGAAAGAAATATCTTAAAAAGTAGATAAATCTAAATTAAATATATCCAATTGGGCAACTTTTATAACGTATCTTTGAAGACAGAAGAGTTCTCCTTGTTTTTCCACAATGGCGTTGTAAGTGACTAAAGATTCATGAACTGTAGGCTACATTTTTTTTTTTAATCTTGTTCAATTTTGTTAAATGGTTATTGTACATGAACAAAAAGACGCTATTTTAGGTCTTTAGTTCAATCAGGTAAAGAGGAAGTTTTAATTTTATATCACTAGAAATATTTAATCGTGGTTAAATTTCATATTCATTGCAGTCCGACTATGACCTATGATAGATACTTTGACTTTGGTCAAAAATGTAAACATTTTTTAAAAATAAACCAATGGCACAGTTAAATAGTGCTAATTTTAAACAGAATTATAACACCAAAATCATATTTTTAGCTGTTGTAGTTTTAAAGTTATGAATTTTCAAAGTACGACTTGGTTTGTCATTTTTTAACATGGACTGCATCTCCACATTCTGTGACCTCATTCCACTGATCGCGTCATGCGCAATGACTATATAGTTTATATAAGGCAACGCATTCCCTATCGCTAAAATACTGTTTAGGGTCGACTTATTTTAAACTTTCAACTTTGGCACATGAATAATTAATAAAAGCTTTCCCTGACCAATGGTTTAATAGCTTTTGCACATGGCAAACTCTTATGAATGAAACTCTGAGATAGTACTACGACGTAGCCGTTATGCAAGTGGCTGTGAATGGTTGCCAATGACAACGTGTTGCACAGGGAAAATTCTGATCATTTATAATATGGACTCTGCAGGGTTTTTAAAGCTCAAATTAAAACATTTCCAGTTTAAATGTCTTCAAAATGCATTCTGAAACACAAAATATAAAATATTTTGATGTATATAGTGGTAATAATTAAATATTTCCTAAGTATCGGCAACTTCCGCCATTAAAAAGGGGGCGTGGCCCACGCCATGTCGAAATTAGGCTGAGCCACCTTATGGTGATATGGGTCACTGTGACAAGTGTAACAAACGTGAGACACGACCTACATCAATGAAACTTGGCACAGATATAGATCAATATCTAATGCTCATACAGATTTAATCAAAAAGGACCTTATCTTATTATTTCACAAAAAATTTTGTATGCGAAGATGCCTTATATATACCAAAGATTTTCAAAATAAAGGTCGATTGAAAAAAGCAAAATAGCTGGCTAGAAATGTAGGCCAAGATGTCTTCCAAATTATAAGGCCGGAAACGGAACTCAAATATATGTGGAAAGAACTAATTTAATAATAAATAGACACACACATCGGAAAATTAAAAACTCGGATTTTTCGGCGCCGACGCCCATTTCCGATACAAAAAAAATAGTAGTCTCCCTTGTTTCATCGAAGTATCTACCTATGACTCATGACTATAGACTATAGAGAATAGAGAAATGGTACTTATAAGTACCATAGATTTTGTGGGTGGGTTATATATATTCATTATATTTTAATAATTTGTTTCATTGGTTTAAGTATTTGCAAAAAAAATAAAATTATTACAAAATTTGAAATTACTATTTAAAAAAATTTTTTTGTAAACTTATTCAGCGCTGATTTCCAAAAAAAACCAAAAAATATAAGTCTCACAAAAAAATTAAATACTAGTA